GCCGAATGGTACTTAGAGGAGGAGCGTAGAACTTAATCGGCAATTGCTGAGAAGACGAGGTAAACATAGACAAAGCACACAAACATCCCTTCTTGGGACAATGATACTTCCAATGACCCCTCTGATGGCAAAAGACGCACTCATCTGAAGCAAGTGGCCCTTTCTTGGGATTTGTAAAAGATTGAAGCTTATGGGTATCCGACATTAAAGTGAACCAGGAGTGAACCAAAGTTATAGAATTTTGGGGTCAAATTATAATAATGAGAAATATACCACTATCTCGGTACTTAGAACACACGGGAGAGAACCAGTCCAAGTGTAATAGTTAATGAAATTTTAGGGTCAAAGTGTAAATACCAACAAATCAGTTATATGTACCAATACTAGGACTGATTGCGAACTAGAGAAGCTTCAAAAGAGAGGACGGACGATCACGAGGTGAGTCGCGATGGCTGTGGATGACGGTGGAAGACGATCGCGACCTGAATCAGAAGCACAGCGATGATGTTTGCGAACCAGAGAGACTGAGTTCGCGAACCATAAGTACCAGAATTGAGTCGCGACGAAGCAGGGGGCTGAAGCTGATCGCGAGTTGCTGATGATGACTGAAGATGATCGCGACCCACGAACCAGAGAGACCCACGAACCCTAAGTCGCGACTGTGAAGAAGACCAGAGAATAGAGACGACTTCGAACAACAGGCGTAGATGCCGACCAGACTTAGGGTTTCGAACATGGCTCTAATACCATGTAAGATTTCTGAACAGCTTTCTGTATCTCGTATATTCAATGTATGAATGATCACAATCAGACCTTAGATTATATAGCCCTAAATTCTAAACCAAAAGGGAGAATACAATTATGCCTCTAATAGGACTCTAACACAACCATACCTCTAATAGGACTCTAATTTGTACAACCACAATCATGCCTAATTTGGAAAATAATAGAAAATACACAATATATTTTCACAATGACATCATTGTGTTTGGATCTTTGAATGAAACTATCATTTTTTTCTTATTATCTCCTCAGTCCTTCCTAAACAATTATTTTTTCATTGCATTTACCCAATCTCTCTCTCTCTCTCTCCCCACATATATATATATATATACGCATATATTATAGCTGACGATACCAATACTTTTTTTTTCAGTTTAACTAATTGATTTTTCACTTAAAAAAAGAAAAATAAATATGTTGAGCAACTAAAACTATCATGAAGAAAAGAGGGTTTAAGCCAAAACCCTACCTTCTTTGTGTGGCTTTGAGTTACGAAGTTTGTATTTCTGTGACAAAGCCAATAAAAATCATGAAACAAATCAATAAAAATCATGAAACAAATCATTAAAACTCATTTTCACTTATAACTTTGAGCTCTTAATTAAATAAAATAAAAAACTGAATTTAAATAACACAGCCAAACAGCTCACTAACAAACCTGTAGGTGACTCTTCAACTGGTAAAGAGTCAGTTCATCTATGTCCATCACATTCATGATATTTTTTGGTGTTGCCTCTGCAATGCATTGCAAAATGTGAGATATATATGCCTTTTTTTTTTTTTTTTGGATAAGCAAAAAGTAATTTTATTAAGTTGAAATGTAGAAATACATGTAAGATTATAGGATCTATATACTAGATATCAAAACACTATGAATATAGTTAACTACTAAAATATAAACTTAGATACATACTGTTTGATTCTGTTATTGTCTTGAGTTTTGCTTCTTTGAAAGAATATGGCCTTCATAATTGGAAAACCTTAGCACCAGCTCTTCCCCTCCTTCTCCTAATATTTATGTTGTCTTTTCAATGGGGCTGACAACCCTTTGATCTACATATATATAGATATATGTAAACCCTAATAAGGATAGGAGAGGGGACTGGGCCTAAATAAAACAATTCATGCGCCCTCCCATTAAGGAACCCAAGTAACTTAAACAGGCTTTACACCTCCATATCACATATCCACATATAAAATAATATATACACTAAGATGGACCATGGCCCAAAACTTTATGAATCATATTAATAATTTTGAGCTCATACCAGTTAATCTGTCTGAATCACTTTCAACCAGTTTTTCACAAACCAAAGAAAATATAGTCAATGACAGCCTAATTTAGGCAACATTGACTACTATTTTAAGAAAATATTTTATCTAAGAAAAAATGACTCGGGTTAAACAACTTTAGTGGCCACATAAACATAATTCAGAATAGAAACATCTCAGCACAGAATCCCGTTCAATAAGAAATATTAATATCTAACTGTAGCGGTAATTATGCTATTGAACAACATAACACCTTCCACAATTACAAACACTAATATCTCACCAACATGGATTCCTATATGTGATAAAGTGTAGTGTGGAATTTTAGCATACTTGATCCAAAAATTATATAACATGCTAATTCCACATTCAGTCCTCTGTATAGTCTTGATAAGACCCTGCGAGGAATTTTATTCCATTTTACACTTCCAAAAGAAGCCTTTATTCCTCTAAACCGAGGTCTTTCATGCTTTAAACCAAGCATCATACTTTATGGATCCATATACACTTCTAAACCGAAGCATTATACACTTCTAAATTAAAGTGTCAATCTTTATATCTCAAAATTTAAATATAACTGTAAGAGTCCACATAAGACGAATACATACATAATAGTTACCATTTATGTGTACACACACATAACTATAAACAAAATGTGAATAAACATATTACACTTTATTAACTGAAATATATCATAGATAATATTCATGGGTAAAAAATTTCTTTAACCAAGCACATAAAAAACTGTAAAGTACCCATATGCTCAATATATTTAGCAAACTAAAATTTGGCCTAAGACCTATATTTAGAGGATCAACTAGTATGTATTCTATAACATGTGCTCATAAAGAATATCATCTTTAACAACTCTCTAATTCTGAAGTACTTTAAAATTATGTATTTAACACCATCAGAGTTTTTGTTATTCTTCATAGAGAAAATTAAAACCATATATAATAATATATCTTTATAGGTTTGGAGATGAAATTAACAATTCCAAGCTCTGAAATAAAATTCTTTAATTACATAACTCAAGTCGAACTCTAAAACATGTTTGTATAGTGAAAAATTATAAGAGATTTTATTAAACTCTTTCATGAAACAAGATGTAACGTCCTCAAAATAAATCCAAAATATCATACAATCTTGACATGCTTAAACGTAAGAGAATGAGGCATAATTAGATTTCATCAGAGTATTCATTACAAAATGTATTACATGTTGACAACAAAAGTAAATGCCCTATAGGCTTACAACTTTTCAAGTCAACACTTGGTTACAAAAGGAGTGAGTACTAACTCAAAACAGATAATAAGCCCTTGGCTTGATATACATGTAATACAACCAAAATAGACAAAAGAGTCTTCAACTCCCACAACCCTCCAAGCTAAGACCTCGGGGGCGGCATAGTACCTAAACCTGAAAATGATGTCCCATATAGGGTGAGCCAACGCCCAGTAGAGATATGCTAAACATAGTATGAACAATAACTAAAATATTAGCATTCGATAAATGTTTAATTCATTTACATCAACCTATAACACATTTCAACTCCATGACTACGATGTTCATGAGTTATTCCATTTTCCATTTCTTATTCAACTCTCAATCCACATCCATGGCTCAGAACCTGGCTACACAATTTAAATGAGATCACGTCTCATATTAATAGTATTCCCGTTTCAGGTGAGATAATAGCTCATATTAAACATTTCATACTTCATAATGGATACACATTTTGGTGCTGTATCAATCTCAAACAAAAACACTTCCATACTTCACAAATGATACACATTTTGGTGATGTATCAATAACACATCAAAACAATTCCATATTTCATAAATGATACACATTTTAGTGCTGTATCAATGGAGTCCATCCCCTATCTCCTCCCAAACAATATCCGGTTTAGAGGTCCATCCCCTATCTTCCCCTAAACCGTGGAGTACATCCCCTATCTTCTCCCACACAACACAATGTATATAAGCAATTATCATATACATGTTCAATCAATTAATACACAATTTAAATGTATTATACCAATCGCCATATTCAATGGCATACTCAATTGACTAGTTTTAGTTTGCCTAATCATCATGCATTGTCTACAACAATCGAGACCACCCTCCACTGGTAGCCCAAAGCAATTATTTCTAAACAATAATAAATGCATTAACAGATAGATTGTCAATAATTCTCAAAGTGGGTGATTATTAAATTGAACACCACCATTCTAACTCACAATGAGCCAATTTCATTATCCTCATCTCAATTTCATATTTCCACAATAAATGTCATTAATTACACTAATGACCCAAATATACCCAAACATGGCATTTTCCCCATTTTTTTTTTCTCAAATTGACCCAAAGGTCCATATTTCATCAACAACATCAATAGTCTCTATTTAAGACCCAAATTACATGTTTATGGATTTAGATCACAAAACCCCTCTTTTTAAACATAACACCTCTCAAAGCCCTAACTTTCCAAAATCAAACCATTTAAATAAATGCTCAGCATCTAGGTTAAAGCTCATAAAAGTGAGTAGGAATCCCTACCTCAAATTCAGAGCCCAAAGTGTAACGCCTTCAAAATAAACCCATAATATCATACATTCAAGATATAGGAAAGAGATATTATATTACAATCATCAGAGTATTCTTACAAAGTGTATTACATATTGACAAAGCGACCAAAAAAATTGGTCGCGGATAACTTTTGCCGACCAAAAATTGACTTTTAGCGACCAATTTTTTTGTTGCCAATAGTGTTAATTCTTGTAGTGTCTGCTGGTATGGGAGGAGGAGGAAGCTAGAAGATTATGCAATTTTCTTAACAATGCACCACCAATATGTCCTAATAGATCTGATGAGCTAAAATGGACTGCTGACCCATCTGAATTGTTTACTGTTGCATCAGTATATAAATGGTGTGAATCACTTATGGGGCCTGTAGTGCCAGTGGCTGATTTAATTTGGAACAACTTCGCTCCTCCCAAAGTGCAATTTTTTATGTGGTTGGCTTGGCTTGGTAAGGTTAAAACTTCCAGCTTTCTCCATAGAATTGGAATCTTATCTGAGAGTGCTAATCTTGCTTGTGTTTTCTGGCATGATGAGGTTGAAACAGTGGATCATCTATTTCTTTTCTGTCCTTTTGTTTGGTTGTTGTGGTCTAATATAGTAAGATGGTGGGGCTTGCAATGGGTCTTACCAGGTTCTGTGTCTGGTCTGTTGCAATGGTGGTCTGGTTGTAGAATGAAGAAGCTGGAGAAGAAAATATGGATGGTTCTCCCTCTGGCTACTCTCTGGTCCACTTGGCAGCATAGAAATGCTTGTGTATTTTCTGGTTCTCAACCAAATTTGGCAGATTTGTGTAAACTAGCAAAAGTCAGATTAGCTATGTGGCTCAAAGCATCGCCAATTCAGGTGGAGTTTTCTATAAATGATTTGGTATTTAACCTGCAGCAATTGAGGTATTGCATTGGAAATGGAGGTGGCTGAGACTGATATCAGGTATGCTCTGCTACTTTTGAGTCTGCTGTAAGGTATGCTGCTGTTTTGTGGTGTTGTTGTCTGGTGGTTTGTGGTGTTGTTGGGTGGTTGATAAATAGGAAGCTGTAGAGTGTGCATTAGCATCAGGTTGCTAAGGTTTATAAGGAGGTCTGGGTCTTTTATAAGGAGGTCTGGGTCTTTGTCTTACCTCAGATTAGTGGTTCTTTGTTTCCTATCTATCTGTGCTGATTTTGTTAATTCTATGCTAACTCTACTTCTCAGGTTGGGATCTGTTGGTCTGCTAAGCTCTGCTACTGTGACAAGCTTGGCCTTAGTCTCAAGTTGGATTCATGTGTGGCTGGAGTTATGATATCAACCATTGATTTTGCACAACATACTTAAGACCAGGTCTGATTTTGCTTTTGAAATGGTGGCGGAGCTAGTGTGTAGTGCCTGCTGTGATGATTTCTAGTGTAGTGCCATCTGCTGAGATGGTTTCTGGCTACTGGTCTGGCAGCTGAGCTAGGGTGTAGCTGCCTGCTGTGATGGTCTCTACTGTGGAGCTTGCTGCTGTCTGTGCTGGTCTGATTTTGGATGCTCCAGTAGAGGTGTGCTGTTGCTAATGCTAATGCTGAATTGCTGAATTGTCTATTGCTGAATTGTTTAATACAGAGATGTGCTATTGCTGAATTGTCTTCAACTTGGAGGTGTGCTAATGTTGAGATGCTATACTGATGTGGGTGATGTTTTGTGGCTGCTAGTGTTTTACTTGTTTTGTTTCTGCTCTGTACGTTGGTTACTCACCAACTTGGAACTTGGAGTTGGTGCTAACAGATGATTTGGTGTGTGTCTAGGTGCCAACCTAGTTGGGATCTTGATGTTTTACTTTGATGCTCTTTGCACCCTCCTCTTTATTGATGTACGTTATTATACTTTGTATATTTTCTCCATCAATAAAACTTTCTTTTTGCCGATCAAAAAAAAAAAAATAGAGAAAATGAAATTAAAGAGTTGATAATCTTACTGATTCACATGAGGAGATGGTGGCACAAAGCTTGAAGAACCAGATGGTCCTTCCAAAATGGGTGCAGATGACTTTGATCTTTTACGATGACAGTCACCTGAGACAATATAAGTGTCTGAAATTATAAGTAAGCGGTTCTACTATTAAATGTGGTGTTTGAATTTTGAATTTAAGAAGAAAAAAATATTTAAAAAAATGAATAAAAATAGAAGTCAAAACTTTTTTTTTTTTTTTTTTTTTTTGTGGCAAACCTCTTTTTTTTTTTCACTGATCCATTCACAAATTCAAAATACAAATGCAATTGAAAGCTATAACCCAATATAGTTTTTTCACATGAATGTAACACACGAAAAGATGGGATCCACTTCATGTGATAATTATATTTTATTCTGTGATCGATTTTTGTATTTCTATACCTTTTCCATCCTAAATATATAGAGATGAAAAGGAAATGTAGCTTCTCATGACATCATTTGGTGATGGATGTATTTATGTAGCTTATGACATCATTGTGTTTGGATCTTTTGTAATGCCCTCGAAATAATAACATTAAACTAACCATATTCCTTTATTCCTTAGAGTTCCATTACATAAGTATTACATGTTAACATCATAACAAAATGCCCTACGGGCTTACAGCTTTCCAAGTTAACACTTGGTTACAACAAAAGAGTACTAACTCGTTTACACATTAAGCCCTGCTTGAAGTTACATGTAATACATCAAAAGTAAAGCGACAAAAGTATGTCAGCCTCTAGCCTCCCAGCTATATCCTTGGAGGTGGCATGTTACCTGTACCTGAAAATGATATTCCCATATAGGGTGAGCCACAGCCCAGTAGAAATACACTAAACCAACCATGAACAATGACTAAAATATTAGCAATTGATAGATGGCCAACACTGATACAATCACATAAATCACATATTTATGTCATACGACTTATGAGTCCAAGTTTCCTTTCATTTTCCCTTTTTCAACGGATAGAATTATTTTTTTGACAATCATTAATATATATCTTCTTATACTTTTAGGTTGTGTGTTTGAAATATGAATTTGGATAGAGATTTGAAAACAAAAATAGAAAAAATATATGAAATGTAAATATATTTTACCTATATTTTTCTTTTGTCTTTTTTAAAATTCCTATCCAAATTCATACTACAAACACAGTCTTAGTATGATTTTTAATAAGAGTATTAATATTTATAAAATTATCATGAAGAAAAATGATATATAAATCTACTTTTTAGATTTACTTTTTATGTTGAGTGATGTGTAAATAAAATGATTTATTGATGATTTGAGAATAAATAAAAAAAATTAATTTAAATATTTTAATAAAATGTCATATCATGTTTAAAAAATAAGTCTAATTTTTAAATCTCAGGAGCAATGCTCTGTGTCTAATCAATGCATTCATGGATGTACATAGCAATGAAAAGTGACTGAACACTTGATGAGAAAATCAAGAACTTGATGTCTTCTACAAATCCAATTTCGGTAATAAGTAGCTTTACATATTCATCACTTGCTTGCTTTTTCAAAAAAGTAAAGGGACAAAAAAAAAAAGGGAAAGGAAAAATGAGGAGTTGGACCAGTTTTTGAAGTTGGCCATAGCATAAGGAAGACATTATACTTTCTTCATGTTTACTCCACAACAGTCGAAATTTATATTGAAGTGTCAAAATAGCCATGAAAATTACATGTTGTACTCTCTTTCTTTACTTCACATACTCTAATTTTTTTACCAATGAAATTACTTGATGTTTGCTTTTTTAAATATATAAGAAAAATATTTATCATCAATGGCGGCCTTTAGTATAGCATCCATTTTTGAAATTTGACTTTATAGATCGGTTGTTAAATTCATAACCCACTATAAAATTATAAATAAATAAATAAAAAATTTCCAGATTTTTTTCTTTCATGATTTTAAAAAACATTGCAATAAACTAGTATTTCGAGTGTTTTAATAAACTTCATAAAAAAATTATTGACATTTCCAAAAAATTATTAATAAGTAGAGGTCTTGAGCCATTAAAGGCTCAAGCATGGGTTTTAGAAACCGAAAAGTTGTTTGAAGTGTTTCTGTGTTCTGAAGCACACAAAGTGTTACTGGCTACGTTTACCTTACAAGAAGAAGCTAGATGGTGGTGGATGCTTATACATGATACCAATAATGTTGTGACTTGGGACATATTTAGCAAACTAAAATTTGGCCTAAGCCCTATATTTAGAGGATCAACTAGTATGTATTCTATAACATGTGCTCATAAAGAATATCATCTTTAACAACTCTTTAATTCTGAAGTACTTTAAATTTATGTATTTAATGCCATCCGAGTTTTTGTTATTCTTCATAGAGAAAATTAAAACCATATATCATAATATATCTTTATAGGTTTGGAGATGAAATTAACAATTCCAAGCTCTGAAATAAAATTCTTTAATTACATAGCTCAAGTCGAACTCTAAAACATGTTTGTATAGTGAAAAATTATAAGAGATTTTATGAAACTCTTTCATGAAACAAGATGTAACGTCCTCAAAATAAACCCAAAATATCATACAATCTTGACATGCTTAAACGTAAGAGAATGAGGCATAATTAGATTTCATCAGAGTATTCATTACAAAATGTATTACATGTTGACAACAAAAGTGAATACCCTATAGGCTTACAACTTTTCAAGTCAACACTTGGTTACAAAAGGAGTGAGTACTAACTCAAAACAGATAATAAGCCCTTGGCTTGATATACATGTAATACAACCAAAATAGACAAAAGAATCTTCAACTCCCACAACCTTCCAAGCTAAGACCTCGGGGGCGGCATAGTACCTGAACCTAAAAATGATGTCCCATATAGGGTGAGCCAACGCCTAGTAGAGATATGCTAAACATAGTATGAACAATAACTAAAATATTAGCATTCGATAAATGTTTAATTCATTTACATCAACCTATAACACATTTCAACTCCATGACTACGATGTTCATGAGTTATTCCATTTTCCATTTCTTATTCAACTCTCAATCCACATCCATGGCTCAGAACCTGGCTACACAATTTAAATGAGATCACGTCTCATATTAACAGTATTCCCGTTTCAGGTGAGATAATAGCTCATATTAAACATTTCATACTTCATAATGGATACACATTTTGGTGCTGTATCAATCTCAAACAAAAACACTTCCATACTTCACAAATGATACACATTTTGGTGCTGTATCAATAACACGTCAAAACACTTCCATATTTCATAAACGATACACATTTTAGTGTTGTATCAATGGAGTCCATCCCCTATCTCCTCCCAAACAATATCCGGTTTAGAGGTTCATCCCCTATCTTCCCCTAAACCATGGAGTACATCCCCTATCTCCTCCCACACAACACAATGTATATAAGCAATTATCATATACATGTTCAATCAATTAATACACAATTTAAATGTATTATACCAATCGCCATATTCAATGGCATACTCAATTGACTAGTTTTAGTTTGCCTAATCATCATGCATTGTCTACAACAATCGAGACCACCCTCTACCGGTAGCCCAAAGTAATTATTTCTAAACAGATAATAAATGCATTAACAGATAGATTGCCAATAATTCTCAAAGTGGGTGATTATTAAATCGAACACCACCATTCTAACTCACAATGAGCCAATTTCATTATCCTCATCTCAATTTCATATTTCCACAATAAATGTCATTAATTACACTAATGACCCAAATATACCCAAACATGGCATTTCCCCCCCCCCTTTTTTTTTTCTCAAATTGACCCAAAGGTCCATATTTCATCAACAACATCAATAGTCTCTATTTAAGACCCAAATTACATGTTTATGGATTTAGATCACAAAACCCCTCTTTTTAAACATAACACCTCTCAAAACCCTAACTTCCCCAAATCAAACAATTTAAATAAATGCTCAACATCTAGGTTAAAGCTCATAAAAGTGAGTAGGAATCCCTACCTCAAATTCGGAGCCCAAAGGTAGGAGATGAAGAAATCCGAAGTACTCCAAATCAAGAAATTCTCGGATCAAAAGATAGCCCTCGACAAACTCAACACTTTTTGTAAAGGACCCAAGGTAGAAGATCAATAGATCTAGATGATATTGAAGAGAGAAGTTGACATCTAGAGAGAGAGAGACTCTCAAATCTGGGTTTGGGAAAGTAAGAGAGAGAAAGAAAATCAAAAAGTGATCCAAAAAGGTGAAATCCCAAAGTGATATAGAAATCGCCCCGCTCGAGCGTCAGACACAGACTCACGCTCGAGCGTGAAAAGCGCCGCTCGAGCACCAAATGCACACTTCCAGAAGTTTTGCAGGCGATGGTCCCTGCTCGAGCGTCAA